TTTTCAAGGTATTATAGGCCTATTTCCTATATTTATGAGGAAAAATACTGAAACGAAATCATAGAACAGGTGCATTCTAGCCACGTTTTTGTGTTAATTGTATTTTGTATATATATTTGAATAATTTAATATATTCAGATCTCAATTTGAGTGTCAACAACATCATTGACTCATGTTTCACATTACATCATCATGAAATTATTATATTCAGTAAAATAAGTAACATTGGTTAAGTCCAACAATTTATTGGGCACTGAATGCTATTCTTCTTCTTCTTCAAAGGTTTGGACCACCCACTTGTTGTAAAGCAGGAAAATGCCTCTGACAATAGCTGGAGGTGCAGTCCCAAGGGAAGCGCAAATCATGAAAAGCCTTCAGCAGCTCCAGAAACTAAACAAAATGTGTGTATGGTATTGTTTTACTGGTAATATCCAGTGACCCAGAAGACAATAAGCATTTGGATATTTTTTGGGTGCCAAAGGCATTAGTGAACTTGAGGGGAACTGATATCATACAAAATTACAGTTAATTTTGATCATTTATGCAATAAAATTCAGACATTTTAAACTTAGCTTAGATGTCCAAATACTTAAGCCATATACTGGGCCATTGTAGTTTGCTGAGATGTTATGTTATAAATATGTTAGTATAATTTTAGCTTTAGTACGTAGGAAGTTTCTAATGCACACGTGTTTTGTGCATGACAGGTTGATCAAGTGTGTGAACCTAAACCTGGAGGAGAAGTGAAAGAGGAAGCAACAGAGGCTAGAGACCCGCAAGCTCGTCTAGTGATACATCCTCAAATACACAAACAAAAAGATCCTCCGGGCAGTGTTGAAGAGACCAATGGACTCCGCAATACAGATTCTGACCACAAACCAGGTGGCAGATCTTGCACTGAAAGACCTGTGGATGAGGTCAGACACAGAAACCTCCCAAAATGGTTTGACCCTAAAACAGACCCTTTAGCGTGGTCACCTGTTTCACAGCCAGAACCAGCCAGGACCTCAGTATCTTCAGAGTCTCCGGGTTTGAGACCGCAAGTGGGCAGCATAGACTCGGGGCCTGTTAAACAGGAAGTTGTAGTGATGCTTCCACCAGACTGGGAAGATATGGAAAGGATCAGGCCTCAGGTGGTTTCTGCTCAAACCAGTGCTAAGAAAACACAGTTAGATCTTCAGCCTGGAGATCCTCTCACCACTAGGCCTCAAATACAGGAGCGAGTTTCCTATCCTGCGCCTCCCGTCAAGGTTCAGAACCTTGCACCACAATCCATGCAGCATCTCAGATCACCCGTTAGGAAAAACACAAAAATCGGTCTACATCCCAATTCGGTTGTGACGGATCACGGCGCTGTTGAAGTAGACCGAGTACAGTCCATCTGTAAAGCCCTTCCTGCTCCAAAACCCTCTCATGTCCGTCAGTATCCTGAAGGAGCCACTACAGGTGAAAGAAGTTTCAGTACCATACACCCAGGAAGAAGTCTGCCGCAGATGGTCAGTATGAGGGTTCAAGGGGACACACGGCACCATTCGGTAAAGACAATGCACAATTGCAGCCAGTGTGGAAAAGGCTTCTCTCATCTGTGCCACCTCCGAGCTCACCAGCAGATTCACACAGGTGAGAGGCAGTTCTGCTGTACCATCTGTGGACGGAGTTTCACCAAACTGAGTAACCTGAAAGCACACCGCAGGGTTCACACTGGCGAGAGACCTTACATCTGCACAGACTGCGGGAAAAGGTTTACCCAGAAATGCAACTTGAAGAGACATCAGAGAATTCACTCCGAGTTCACTCACTCTAATGTATGACGGGTGATAGTGGTAGAATCTGGTACTTTACACATTAACATATTGATGTTTTGTTGACTGGTTAATTTATTTTTAATATCATGCATTGTATTAAAAGTACTAAACCTCATTTTTTCGAACCTTATGCTCAGAAAATTTTCTTCTGTAGTGATGTGACTGGATCACTCAGGGGAAATAGCAATTTTATCACGATAAATAGAAAAATGTTAAAACCGAGCACTTTTCCATTCTCTGTGGATATAACAGGCTATTTCTCACAAATAAATGTCCACATTTTACCCTAAAATCAAAAGAAGAGAAAAATAGAAGAGAATATATATGAATATATGTATATGTATATATGTGTATATATATATATAATGCAATGCAATACACACACTATGTATGCATTACAGTTATGTAAATGCAAAACAACAACAATAATAATAATGATAAATTATAATGGGCCTAAAAGTAGACTTTCTCTGTGCAAAATATAATTTTCCATCCTTTTGATTTTGGGGTGAAATATGACCTGGACAGTTTCACCCATGCTTTGGAAATTTTCTTTATTTGTTATTGGGTTTGGTGGTTCCTCTGGTTATCAAATTGAGTTTTACAAGCCTTGATGAATACAACACAATTACTCAAGTATAAACTGTTAAATTGGATCCCTTTTTATTTGTTTGTATGTTCAGATACATAGCATTAGCTCTTTGAAATGGTGCATATATAACGGTGCATTACTGTTTTTTTCCTTTTCCTTTAAGATATGCAGTAAACTGTTTGAAAAACTAATTTATGTGCATATGCTGCTGTGGGCTAAAATAGTTACATGTTCATATTTAGATGTCAGTGGTTAAAGGTTCAAACCTATGCAGGAGGGCCAATGAAAGCACCTGCTAAACTTCAAATTACTATTTTAAAATGTAATGACATTAAATGACATGGTTCCAGTGTTTTTTTTTAGAGCGTAAAGAATGAGTAACAGTACAGCTGGTACATTCAAGCTACTTTCTCTTCTGTTTTTAGTTGAATGTCTTTTGTTGATTAAATTCCACACACTGTGTTTTATTACACACTGAGCAAACTCTTCCAGTAATGCATGCAAACAGATTATTGGTGAATCAGGTACACCACAGTAAGCCATGTACATTACAGGCTCTATGACTGTAATTAAAATTATTTTCTTCTTTTTCTGTGAAAATGAAAAATATAAATGATGAAATTGCATTGAAAATGGACAAAATGGCAAGAAGTTAATGTCTCCATTTTTGTCATATATATGTTGTTTAGTAAAGTTCATGTCAGCAAAATTAAATACTTCTCCATCTGTTTGGTATATACATGTCATGGTCATGTGATATTCTCTTGTGGTCTTTTTGATAACTGACAGTTTCTCCTTTCCTATTGCACTAACACTGATACTAATACTGATACGTGTCTTAAGTCGCTGGGGTATATTTGTAGCAATAGCCAACAATACATTTTATGGGTCAAAATTATAATTATTTAATTATATATTATTTTTCTTTTATGCCAAAAATCATTAGGATATTAAGTAAAGATCATGTTCCATGAAGATTTTTTGTAAATTTCCCACCATAAATATATCAAAACGTAATTTTTGATTAGTAATATGCAACTTCATTTGGACAGCTTTAAAGGCGATTTTCTCACATTTTTTTTTGCACCCTCAGATTCCAGATTTTCAAATAGTTGTATCTCGGCCAAATATTGTCCTATCCTAACAAACCACACATCGATGGAAAGCTTATTTATTAAATCTCAATTTCGAAAAATGGACCCTTATGACTGGTTTTGTGGTCCAGGTCACATATAATACTGATACACTAATACCACAGTAATACTCTGTGGTAACAGCACATGATGAAACACAAACTTTCGGCCTGTGTAGAGCAAGATGTGGCACTTTTTACTGTGTTGTGCAGTTTTTGTGACACTTGCTGTATGAATACACACACAATTATAAATGATTAGAAAAGGCTAAATGGTCTTAAAAAAATCACACACGTGATCTGCACAGTCAAAAATGACAGGAAATTAATGGGAATTAATACAGAGCAGGTTTTTCGTTTTAAAATCTGCAAATCAGCATCTAAGTAGTCCTTGGTAATCTCTAAATAAATACATATTCAAATGATAAAATAGGTCTAATAAAACAGGTCTTAAAATACTCTTATTAGCAACTAGGAATACACAATTTATAGGGCTACAGCATCTCGTGGCTGCACAGTTCGTATTACATGTGTTTTTCTTTATTTCTCCCACCAGGTGGCATCAATGCATGGATTTTAACACTGTTAAAGTATTAACTATTTATAAAATATATTTATTTCCTAATATTCGTATTATTTTATATAAATAGGCCTACATGGTGCATATCTTAGAGGTCAGTATTGTCTAGTACCATCATGCAATCCCTTCGCAAAAGAAAATATTAAAGAATAAATATTATTAAAACAAAAACGGTTCATTTCATTAAAAATGTTACGCGCATTGCCGAGGATCACAAGTGTGACCCCTAGGGTTAAATCAAGATAATAACACAAGGATCATAACGTTTCGGTTCTGTGCGTTTATTACGTCATTAATGTGCCTTGTAGTAAACCAGTAAACTGTATTGTAATATTATGGCATACGTTTGAACATTTATGCCTTTCATTGTTTTGTGTATGACTTTAATCTTCAAACACACTTTGAAAAAGCTTCAGTAAGTATGATGTGCTTTGCGTGATGTGCAACCACCGAAGTGTTCACATCAAGACAATATAGCTATGTTTTCAGTGGTTAATGTGCTTTGTAAACTAGTAAACTGTAAGTGAATCTGTCAGTATCCGCGCTGATGGATTCGTCAGACTGAATCAAACAGGTAGTTCCTCAGTTCGTGAGTCTTTTCAATTCTGCTCATAAAAATAATTTTTGCGAGTCATATACTAAAGCCACTACATGTAGACTACATAGGAACCCGCTGTGACACGTAACATTTAAATCGATTAGAACACGCCAATGTTACAAATTAACATGTTAATTTCTAATGAAGATTCATTTACGTCCATTACAGTCAAGTAATTGCCATTTTTATACAGCACAGATCAGAACAACTTAACGTCGCTCCTTCAGCTCACTACATGTACATTTAGCACACACTATTTGTGGCATCTTCCAGTCCACTGGAGGGCAGTAACAAAGGAAACATCAACATTTTCTGCATCCGCTCAAGATGACACTGTCAGCCTCAACGATCATATTACAACAATAATACCGTCTTTTTTCACATTATTCCGCGGGTTTTTGCTGAGGAATTCGCTGTGCGAGAATCGTTTTCATAAGGTACTCACCGTCTGAATAATGTGGCTTTTGTTATTTGTCACTGTCCTGTACATTTAATTTACTTTTTACATAAAAGGCCTGAAGAGAGGGTCACTACCGAGCTTATTTACCATAGAAAACCAAGTGAAAACATTCATATGCATATATAGACGTATTTCTAATGTTCCTGTGGCTCAGTGGTAGAGCATTGCGTTAGCAGCGCAAAAGGTCGTGGGTTTAATTCCCAGGGAACACACATACTGGTAAAAAATGTATAGCCTGAATGCACTGTAAGTCGCTTTGGATAAAAGCGTCTGCTAAATGCATAAATTAAATTAAATTTCGAATAACATAGCACTGGCAGCGTTGCCGTAATAATCAGATTGTGTGTTGCAACTTGCACGTGGTGCACAAATAACAAAACGCCCACCTGCTGAGAGTCTTGATGAAAATACCAGATTTGGAACAAGTTGACACGGGTTTTAGTTGGTCGTCATGATGCCAGTAATATCACAGTTTTCTGATTCTGTCTTTGTGTCTTTTTAGTCATTCACTGCATCAAGGTGTCCTCGAGGAGACAGGACGATGTCAGAAGCCTTTTTCCTCACATTCCAGTCTCAGCTCTCCGTTGTCATGGAGACCGTCCTCAAGTCAGCCATGTTTGAGATAACCAGGCTGGTGGAAGACAGCTTCCTCGAGGAAGTGGGGCATCGTAAACAGGAGGTGGAGGTCTTGAAACGAAGGTTGCAGTTGTCTGAGATTAAACTGAGGGAAAGGGAGAGGGAACGGGGGAGGAAGACACGGTGCCTGGACTGTGGCCGAACAGGAGAGTCCAGCAGCAGAGATGAGAGCCAGCCTGTAGAGACAGTCCGGGGTAAGCTAAAACTATTATTAAAAATCCATCCATCCATCCTTTCCTGTTATAACTTATCCTATGTAGGGAGGGCTGAAGCCTATTCCAGCATCTCTGAGTCAGACCCAAATGCAGGCTAGTAAAAACCGTTTTACTTTAAAAACCATTAACTGAAATAAAATAAAATAAATGTATTAAATGTAAACATGTAACTTCGTTGAAAATCTAAATGGCTGAAATAAAGCCAGTTGAAATGCTAAAACTGCTCAAACTGAAATAAAAATAGTTTTAAGCGAAGGTAAATATTTAAAAAAACAAATCCCAATAAAAATGACAAGGCTAATTAAAAGTATTTAAAAAATGCTAGTATTTAAATAAAACTGAAATAACACTGGTTACAGCATACATATCTAAAACTGGACAATAACAAGGCACTAGAATTAAATAGGCTAAATCTGAAATACATAGATTTAAATAAATATAATACTAAACATCATATTTTTACATTTAAATGTGACCTATTATTAATAATTTATATATAGAATAACCATATTTATCTATACTATTACTAATCCATTCCACACTCATACACAGTTACAGTAATAATATTTATTACAACATTATGAATATATTCTATCCATCCATCCATCTCATGACCTTTTAAAATAATTTATTATTGTTAGTCTTTGTAATACTAATCTTATTATTATGATTATATTCCTGCCCTTGGAAGTTCACCAAAGCATGTCCTTTAAAATGCCTGAAGAACCTCAAAATATTATTTTTCATTATTAATTTAATAAATATTTACAAGCTACAACAGTGTGCAGTGCTTTCTCCATTCTCACAAGCAAATGGTTATAGGTGTTTTTTTAATTTACTTTTATCATTGACCTGCAGAATGACAGTTTCATCTTACAAATCAGTTCAGTATTCTTTAAATTATTGTAGTCCTCCATTTATGGATTGCAGTGCATCTGTTATTTTACTGTTAAGAACATCACATGGCATATATCTGTTCTTCATATGTTCAAATACTTTTTGTGCTGTTCCTTAATTTTGTTTCCTTTCTTCTTGTGCAGGAGCAGACAGCCTTTGTTTAGGCCTAAGCTTGAGAGATCAGTCTACCAATCAGCCTACACTGACTGAAGAAGCGTGGAGTGCCAGACAACGCCTGGAGTCTAACAAACGAACGACAGCACACACACACTCTAAGGAGAAGAATGATGTACACAGACAGAATGCAAAAGAGATCGTCACACCTAACTCCAATGCACAAATTCATCAGGATTTTCTGCAGAGGATTCTGGGCAATTCAGTCATTCACAGTGAGTCCACTAGTGACTTCAAACCCAGCGTGAGCAATTTAGACAAATCCGACAAAAACTTTGCTCTCGATAAGGAAATGGACTCAAACCACTCAAGCCTGTTACAAAGTCCTTCGGCTCAGGATGCGCACGAGGACTTGCCGTCGTCTTCGCCAAACAGCAGAGTAAAAACAGAAACGGAGCTGGATCTTCTACCTGTCAAGGAGGAGGAAGAGATGGTTCCGGTGTGGGACAGCGTCAACAGAGATGACGGATGCCATGCAGAAATGGCTGATCCGAGTCAGGGAGAGCTCAGAGGACCTTGTGATCAGGAGGAGATACAGGTAGAAAGCTTTCCAGGTCTAAACTCTCTCAACATGCCAGACGCCACCTCATATTTCACACCTTATTCAGTCAGCACACTGGTACATCAAGGTATTAGGGCACAACATAGTCATTTATGCACAACAGAGCTGATGCTCTCTAGCATACAAGAGAGGTCACATTCATTTGTCCAACCAGAAAATGGACAAAGTTATCCTGGTTCAAAGAGTTCCGTCCTCTATTCTCACATTGATGTTTGTCCAGGCGAGAAAGCAATCAGCCATGCACAATACCCAAAGTGTTTCTCCCAGGACAAACATGGGACACCTGAACAAATCCATGCAGAAAGATCCCACCATTGCACCCAATGTGGGAAAACGTTTGCGAGAACATGCGACCTCAAGGCTCATTCGCTGATCCACAAGGGCAAGAAGCCTCTGAGCTGTTCGCAGTGCGATCAGACGTTCACGTACAACTTCGAGCTCAAGGCTCACCAGCGAAACCACTCAGGGGAGAGACCTCACGTCTGTCCGCACTGCGGCAAGGCCTTCACTCGAATGAGCAACTTCAGGCAGCATCAGAACATCCACACGCGGGAAAAACTCTTCAGCTGCACTCAATGCGGGATGCGATTCAATCGAGCCACCAACCTGCGAGTTCATCTCAGACGACACAGCCACGCCGGGAAGACTTACAATTGCTCTCATTGTGGAAAGAGCTTTCTGAATCCCAGGCAAATGAAGGCTCATTTACTGAAAGTCCATGGAAGAGGAGGGAAATAAACATATCTAATTTATGTTTGGAAATTCAGTTTGAACTGATTCCGAATTGGATCAATTCATGTTTACATGTTATAAATGGTCTGCACTGTTAAAACTCAAGAAGATACCACTGTCCCATGGTTGCCACCTTAGAGACAACTAAACAAGATGTGGACAAATTGTTATGCATGGAATCTTTGCATTACGGAAAGATGAGGAAACTTATTTAGGTTTCCTTATTTAGGTTTAATACATCTGCATATAGAAATTGGAATGACTGATTTTCATCAACAGTAATTATTTTGCTGTTGAATGATCAATGTGTAGTAGCTGGTATATATTATGTATTTAATGTTTTTATATATTCCTTCCAACTACAGTAAAGACAGAGTATGTATGTAGCACATCCTCTTTCCTGAGAATGTCTTTTTAGAATTACTTTACACTTTAAATTTGGACTAAAAAGGTACCCTGGCCTTCACTTAAATTGTGATGTGTCCGTGTAGCTTCAACTTTCATGGCATTTTGTTGGAAAAAGTAAATGAACCATCAGATGTAGCAACTGGTAGCACCTCTCTTTCTTGTTCCTGACAAACAGTCCCACCTCATCAAGTCAGTAAAGTTAGTCCAAAATGCTCCAGATCCATTTCAGTCTTCCATTCAGACTTCAAGTCTCCTTTTCAGTGGCTTTTTATTTATTTTTTTGGATTGATGAACACTCTTGTTGGACAATACAAGACCTCCTGCTCAGCCATTTCCACAAGATTTCTGTGATCTCCTGCAGCATTGTGTCTTGATGCCTGCCTCTCCTGGAGTGATTGTAGTCGGACAACTATTATCCCCCACATACAGGTCATTATCTGATGGATTTGTATACTTTTTTCCAACAAAAGCAGTAAATGCTAGCAATACATTAAATTAGGAATATTTAATTTGATATTTGATACTTTTTAATATTCCTTCTGACTAATGCAAGACTGCAGATATTTCTGACAAACAGCACTCCATATGAAATATAATATTAAATGAATATTGTCTGTTTTTGCAGACTTATCTTTGTCTGTTATGATAATAAACAAGCACATTATATGCACGTGATAGAATACATAACCTGAGAATTAACTGTATTTTAATTCAAAGCGGTCAGTCTCTCAACCACAAAACATGTTTTTTGAGCAGAATATTACAGAAGCATAGAAATGTTTCTAAATGCATCCAAATTGATATGAAATTAACAATGGAAATTGTGGTTTACTCATTTGTTGTTGTGTTTGTTGTAGATCGGCCAAAGGTTTGCAGAGCACATTTCCACGGAACAAGGACATTTACACCCCATAAACAAGCAGAGGACGTTCAGTGTAAGCAGTTATACAAAGTGAATTTCATTTATAGGCTTTTGAACGATCATCAAGTGACCAGTATTACTTGTTTCTTGTGTTTTCACCAGGTTGTGGCCAGGGAGATCCTGACTCAGTTTCAGGTGTGGCAGAGGGCCTGCTATAGCAGGAACATTGAGTGGGGTCCGATTACAGCAAAGGTTCAGTCCTCTCTATTTGTTCTGTCTGATGAGATGATCTGTTTTGATTATCTGAAATGAATAAAGATAAAGTCATGTTTTCAGAGAGTGTATTTGTGCTTTACTTTTACACAGATCATTTCTGCATTGCCGCAGTTGTATGGACGGGAGGCAGAGGTGATCGTACGATGTACTAAGATGCTACACAACCGCAGGGATTACCTTCGAAGGAGAGCAAAGGTTAGAGTTCACAGGCTCAAAGATTTAATCTCTTAATTGCTTGTATGATGATGAATCATGCATATGAATTCCTCTTATTTATGACACAATTGTGTGAATGAAGGTAATTCCTTAGGGCTTATATTGCTTAGATGTTATGGAAGAAAGCTAAATGTTAAAAAGAAACATTTCAAATTGACATTATATGTATAACTTAACAATTAGAATAATATAATCTGTCCTACTAGCATAGGATGGTCTGCCCATACAATGTTTTAAAGGGATAGTTCACCCAAAAATCAAAATTCTGTCGATAATTACTCACCCTCATGTTGTTCCAAACCCACAAGACCTTCGTTTATCCTCGGAACACAAATTAAGATTTTTTGATGAAATCCAAGAGCTTTCTGACCCTGCATAGACAGCAACGCAACTGACACGACATGAGTGAGAGTTCATCCACAATTTCATTTTTGGGTGAACTATCCCTTTAAAGGGTTAGTTCACCCAAAAATGAAAATTAGCCTGTGTTTTACTCACCCTAAAAGCATCCTAGGTGTATGTGACTTTCTTCTTTCAGACGAATCCAATCGGAGTTATATTAAAAATTGTCCTGGCCCCTCCAAGCCTTTCAATGGGGTTAAGAAGACTTTCAGGCAGATGACGTAGGACGCATGCGTCGTGCGCGCGCCTCTGGAAAATGCAGGAGCAAAGGAAACAAAGTTTCCTTACTTTAGGAAAGGAAAACTTTATGTTTATGCTTGTTTGTTTGACAGTGCAAAATGTAAATACTAGAATAAGACTGCAATTAACAATTTTGAAAATGATCAGAGAAATGATCAACAGATCATTTGATTTAATGGATTGAACAGATTACAGAAAATGTTCTGTATATATTGAAAAAAACATGCTTTTCCATAACCTTCAAAAAGTGTAAAATATAAAAAAGGCAAATTTAATTGAATGAATTTAGGTTATTAAATACATTATGTGCGCAAAAAATTTATATAAACTTCACATTATTAAAAAAAAAAAAAAAAAAAAAAGCAAAAGGACAATTCAATCATGTTTCAATTAAATATGGTCAGCATTATTGCATTGCCTATCTGTTAGAAGAGGGTTTTGCTGCAGACTGTAGCACGATGACGTAGTTAATCTAATCCACTAGACTACATAATAATTTAGCCGGCATAGGGGATGTTTTTAATGCGAATGCATAATAGGAGATTTTGGTGACACACTGGATGTCTTTAATGCACGAGCATAATAATGAGGATTATTTGTTATCATACTCCATGACAAGGATGGACTCAACACCAACAAGTGAAACAGTAAGTGAATGAGCACAATTTGTGTTGTTGTTATATTGTTCGTGTATTTTAATGACACTTGCATTTTACATTAGCCCTTTTGGAATTGACTTATTGTTTTCCTAACATCATGCTGGGTCCTCATAACCCCTATATTGCAAATGTAAGAATATTTATAATAGATTTTAAAAGTTGTCAAGGCAAACTTCATACTGAAAAAATATAATTCTTATTATATTATAATATCTTTCTCTGATTAAATAAGCTGAAATCTTGATTATAACAAATTGTTAGCGAATTTTAATATTCAAAATGTTGATGTTAAAGATGTTAATCATTGTTTGATTGTAAATATCCTTTTTAGACGCATATTACTGTCCTTAAAAATGGAGAAAGCCCCTGTATCTCTAAGTGCACTCAGTGTTGTGACAAGTATCACTGCCCATTTTGTGAGACCTGGGTCTACACGCCAAGAGAGTTAGGGAGCGTTGTTAACCACGTCCAGAATCATCTGAAGTTGGCTGTCCAGCAGGATGGTGTGTATAGTGCTTCCAAATTCATTAAAATGTTATTTTGTCAAGGCATATTAATTCACTCTTGATTTACTTTTTTCAGATTTCGCTATTGTCAAGTGTAACTTAAAGTGCAGAGAATATGCCCATTTTCACTGCTGCTACTGTTCTGCCACTGTTCTACGAAGAGGCCAGTTAAAATGTCATCTCACAAAATGCAAGCAGAAGTTCAATGC